TCCTTATAACAAACAACAACGTCAAGATAAAACTGTAACAATCGTCTGAATGGAGCAGGAACTTTCGGACTTTAACTCACTACTCCTTCCTTACAACAAACAACAATGTTGAGATAAAAGAGTAACAATCGTCTGAATGGAGCAGGAACTTCCGGACTTTAACTCACTAGTCTATCCGTACAACAAACAACAACGTCAAGATAAAACTGTAACAATCGTCTGAACGGAGCAGGAACTTTCGGACTTTAACTCACTACTCCTTCCTTACAACAAACAACAATGCTAAGATAAAAGAGTAACAATAACCTGAACGGAGCAGGGACTTCCGGACTTTAACTCACTAGTCTATCCGTACAACAAACAACAACGTCAAGATAAAACTGTAACAATCGTCTGAAAGGAGCAGAAAGTTCCGGACTTTGACTCACTACTCCTTCCTTACAACAAACAACAATGCTAAGATAAAAGAGTAACAATAACCTGAACGGAGCAGGGACTTCCGGACTTTAACTCACTAGTCTATCCGTACAACAAACAACAACGTTAAGATTAAACTGTAACAATCGTCTGAAAGTCTTGAATAAATCCAGCTACTACCTGTGAAATGTGATTCCTTGGATTACTTCATTCTATATTTCTTTGAGGGCCTGATATCCCATAATAGAAAACAACAGAATTACCTAAAACACCTTTTAAATGTTTTTTAAATTTTCAACTGACGTATTATTACTATAATTATCATTAAATTTGGAAGTAATGCCTATTACATAAGTTCACAGGGATGTTTATACTATAACTGAGGCATCCTTACGAAAGAAGTATTGTTACCGAAATTATCTCGAAATTCCTGATTAAATTTTATTAAACAATAGTTTAACAGGGAGTTTTTGAACAATAGTTGTAACTGACTCAGGTTTAACGGCGGAATTTATTGAGTAAATCTGTTTAATTTCTTTAGGGATTTTTAAACACAGAAAACAGACTACCAGTCTTTTACGATGACCACAACTGTTGATGAAACTTTGTTGAATGGACGGCAATTGCCTGCTGTAGAAACATATGTGTAGAGGACGACGTTTCGAAAGTCTTCTGCCTGAAGGTGTTTCTACAACAGTCAGTTGCCGTCCATTCAACAAAGTTCCAACCTGAATACTCTGCCTAAACAATCTATCAAAGAACACCTGTTATTATTTTGTCTAATCGATTTGCTGTTGAGGCGCCAAAATAGATAAAAAAATGTTTACTTAGCTTTATTCATAAATTATTATTTTTTTTTGCTATTAACAATCTAAGGACAATGTAAATATATTATGATAATGAAGAATCTGAACACACGATAATTCATCTATTAGTGTAAACATGACAAACACTGAGCTATGAGAGTCCCCTATTGGGACAGTGGTAAGTCTACGGATTTACAGCGCTAAAATCAGGGGTTCGATTCCCCTCGGGGGACACAGCAGATAGCCCAAAGTGGCTTTGCTATAATAACACACACACACCTGAGCTATGAGACAACTGTTGAGCGTGGTTTAAATATAGTAAAATTAAGTGCAATAGTCAGACAGTAGGGGCTAGCTAGCATAACCTGTTGATTAGGGCACTCGACTCGCAACCTGCGTGTCCCGGGTTCGAATCCTGTTACCAAACTTTCTCGCTCTTTCAGCCATGGAGACGTTAAAATGTGACGGCCAATCCCACTATTCGCTGGTAAAAGAGTAGTCTAAGAGTTGACGGATGCGTGGGGTGGTGTTATCTAATTGCCTACTCTCTAGTTTATTACTTCAAAATTAGGGATAGCTAGTGCAGATAGCCATCGAGTAGTTTTCGTGAAATTCGATAAAGAGAAATAATACAGTATGTATATTAAAACAGTACTAGATTTAAGATTGTATTTGAATACACCAGAGTAAACTACATAGATTATTGTTTCGTTCCAAGTTGTTGTGGACATGTAAAACATGACCTTTTGGACTTAGAAACGAGCCCGAAACGTTTCACTTCTGTTTATTCGTTTCAACAAAACATTCGTTATTGTTCTTCTTCAGTAGTTCATTTTATAGCCTGTGACAATATTTATAACACTGAGAAATAGGCTTGAGCAATGTAGCGGAAAATGCCTAAGATGGCGAAGCACAGGATGCTCATTAGGCCCAACAAATACAAATGTAAAATGTGACTGAAGAATAACGTTAGTAGTTTTTACTAGAAGCCACAAAAATTATAAAACTGAATTATTCATTATAATTGTTAGCTATATTTGTTTTTTAATGTTTTCGCCGTACACCACCTATCAGAAATTTTATCCAAAGGCAGAAAATAAAAATTGATATAGGCGAAGAAATTAAAGTAAAAACATTTTTTGTATGTGTAACATCTTTTTTTATTTTTTTCAAATCTTAAGATACGTGTGATATTATTATCAGCTTAATACAGGGGAAGAAAATATATTTCTGACTTGTAAGTGACCTTACCATTTGCACGTTTTTCATCTCGGTGTTCTTTCAAAGCCGAAGACGAACTTGAAGAACCTCCTGGGTGGTGAGATGTGGGAGTACTTCCTGTCAAAGGTCCTGAAAAGGCTAGGAGACTAGCTGCGCTGCTAGGTGGCACTGTAGGTGGCTGTAAGCCGGCCATTGCCGCATGGGGCATCATAGCGATGGGAGGACCATGGGCATGTGGTGGTAACTGTTGGGCATGCATTTGTTGCTATATTGGAAGAACAGTCAAATTTCGGAAAACTAAAAAAAATATTTTAACCTGCGTGATCTTCTCTCGGTCACTACCAACAACAGACCGAGTAAAATATATCTAAAACAGATATATATATATGTATATCCCTAAAACTAGAAAATTAATAGAGTTTCCTGAACTAAGTTCGACTTTTTTTTTATAAGACGGTGTGTGGATTACTATCTGAACAAAATCCGCTCAAAAATGTGATTGATTTTTTTTATATGTACCACTGTGAAATAGAAAAACAATAGTTATCATTAAGATATTATATTAAGATTGGAAAAAACAAAACAAAAACTGAGAGGCAGTAAAGTTTATGAACTACTGGGATTTCGTTTTAACTTTCTGACATGACAATAGCCTGTTGACACCTTTGTTATATTTGTTTCGTTCAAATTAGAGGTCCTGAACCTTCGTAGGACGACCTGCAGAAGGATTCACTTTCATAGATATCAGTCAATTTACTGAGAACAGGATTAGTCTTTTTGTATTATTCCTTAATCGATATTCAGTTTGAGATAAGTACGAATATCAAGAAGTTATTAACAATTTCAAGATTATGTAGACTCTGATTTGACGTTTTTTTCTTTTGTTTCCCTCAAAAATATGACGTAGTTTCCCACGTGACACTTGTTGTTCAATATCAAATTAATTTTCGAAAAACCAATAGTATGTTCACCGTGTGGGTACAACAAGAGTTCAATAAACAAATTATCGATAGTGTAATACAAAACATTAAAAAACAAAACAGAAAATTGATTGTCTCTAGAAATGATAGATCATTTCCAATAATTGGTCGACATGCAAACTTCAAGTTCCCAATCTTCAATTTTCTATTTAAAAGAAACGATACGCTGTTTATAAAAGAGTTTGTCATACAATAAATAGCCTGTAGTAGCATGTATGCCTGCCCTTTGCAGTTGTATTTTTTAGCCTACACTTATGAAATAGATTTTAACTTTAAAGAATGTATACTATCCTAATTAGTTTTGTATTATTATATCGGTAATATTAAAGCCTATACTCATTAGTTAAATATATTTTTAAAATTGAAGTATGCTGTCATAATTAATTTTGTATTTTTTTATAATAATGATTTTTAAAAATATACTAGGCCTAATACTAATGTTTTATGACAAGTATGATCATAATGCTCGCTAACTTTCACAAGAAAAATGTTTCTCATATGAGTGATAGATTTAAAGTAAAGAAATAAATTGTGGATAACTTTTTTAAATTACGTTTAGCTTCAATATAACGAACTTATAGATATATATGCTTTTACTATATGGTTGCACATTCAAATTGTGCTAAAATGAAATCGTATACCTTTTAGCTGCATGTTAGGCCATACAAAGACAGCTAACCTGGAGTAGTTGGTATATCCAATAGCTTAGGACTTGTTTTTTTTCCCCAAATGAATGATCATAACGTTCTCGAACGTTCCTAACTACTATAATTATCATCCCTATTGCACGATGAATTGTATTTTATAAAACAATATTAATTAATTTTGGTCCTGAAATTTTTGCGTATTGTTTTTTCACGGGTATATTTGTCTTCTATGCTTGTTCATTTGGTTGTTGGATTTCGCGCAAAACTATACGAGAACCACATGTGCTAACCTTCCTACCACATGTGCTAACCTTCCTTAGTTTCAGATTAATAGATCTGAAGGACGACAGCTGATCAACACCACAAACCGTCAACTCTTGAGTTTCCTATTCTCAGGCTGAATAATGGGGTTTGACAGTGACTCTTATAACGCAACCACAGCCCAAAGTGCCGAGTTTAATTTATTTGTTTTTTTTTGCGGTAACGGGTCGTGAACCACCAAACCCAACCTCGCACGCTAACCATTGGGTTAGCACAATGTAAAATAATTTAGCCCTAGGTCAATGCTAAAGTGTGTTAAAGTGTATCCGTGCATTAAAGCTACAAAAATATGTAAGGAATTAGTGTATATACAGGAGAAACCATCCTACTCATTTTCGGTGTTGATATACTTTAGTTACACAATGTTCTATCTGCGCGGAGAATCGAACCTTGGATTTTAGCTTTGTAAGTCCGTAACATACCGCTGACTCACCTAGGAACTATTTTTGGTGTAAACCAGTTAAAATGCTAAGCTAATTCTCGAGGTTGTTGAATAAAGGTGAGAGGGATATGGTGTGGATGGATTTCAGAGGGGGTGTTGAAACTAACATTTTGTGTTTGTTTGCTTTGAATTTCGCGCAAAGCTACACGAGGGCTATCTGCGCTAGCCGTCCCTAATTTAGTAGTGTAAGACTAGAGGGAAGGCAGCTAGTCATCACCACCCACCGCCAACTCTTGGGCTACTCTTTTACCAACGAATAGTGGGATTAACCGTCACATTATAACGCCCCCACGGCTGAAAGGGCGAGTATGTTTGGTGTGACGGTGATTCGAACCCGAGATCCTCAGATTGCGAGTCGAGTGCCCTAACCACCTGGCCATGCCGGGCCTAACATTTTGTTCCCATAGTTGTTTCGTCAACCTTGTCTCGACATCCTGGACTTTCTCGATCAGTGTAATAAGATCACGCGATGTCACAATAGTTTGGAATGATTTGTTAAAAGGTTATTTTTTTTCTTATTGTAATATTAAACTGAACATTCGAGAGAGAGAGAGAGAGCTCATTCATTTTATCGAAATGCACCTTACCTGCTCTCTCGTTTTCTACCCTCGTGAATAGCGCCAGTCTCTTTACCTAGTTTTTAGATAAAGTATCTGAGAAAACACGCACGCATTTGTCGTGAGCATTTTCTGTATATAATTCTTTTGTAAAACCATCAAGAGATTATCTGACAAATGATGATAGATAAAAAGTGGTACTAACAATAACTTTAACTGCATTCGTGCGTAGTTGTATGTACGTATGTGTACGCATAGGTTTTACACGTACGTATGTACGACAAGCTGGTTTTAGTAAGTGCACTTTAATAACCTGAAAACCACCGAAATAGAATCTTAGCCGTGTTTATAACAGACCGTGTATTGATCACAGAAAATAAAAACAATTCATTGCTAAATCGATTCGCCATGGTTACGCACTAAAACAAGAGCCTAAATGATTACTAGCAAATGAGTTAATGCATTCACAACCATAAGTTTTTTCTATATTATCTATCTACGATTATCCATATTTTCCCGCCATTAATGGTTCTTATAATATATTTCCCTTGCGAGAGGCCTTTATTTACTCACAACATCTATTTATTTCTTACCTCAGGGTGTGACAAAATTTCATTTTAAAACCCCTTATTTTGCGCTTTTCATTTCAAGCCATATAATTCAGAATATTTAATGGATTCCGTAGTAATGGGTGCTACAAAATCGTTTTCAATCTTAATACTAAAGTAAAGAGTAGAATTGTGGGTAAATTTGAACAAAGCTGATCGAGGTTTAAAGACTAATACGTTTCAGTAATTTTATTTCTATTTACAAATAATTAATGCCCTTTTTTTCATAGGAAATTATTTCTAGCCTGTTTTATTTTCTAAGTTTTTTTTTATGATTAGATTAAAAGTTTTGAGTCGCAGCCTTCCTAATTTATCAGATAAACTATTAAAAAACTATCACGGTAAAATAAAAACAAAGCTGAAAAATACGATTTAAACCAAGAGCATGCGAATTCACAACATAAATACATATAATCAATTACGTAAAACAAAGTTCCATTTCAGATTAAATATGAAAGTTGAAACATTTGCTTTTACGCCGTAACGAGAAAAGTTCGTGCAAAATGATAAAAGAAAAACACATACGAACCATTAGATGGGCGATACCCGAATGTTGTTGCTAGAATAAAAGAGAAAACACACTCATGAGAAATCCCCTATAACTCTATAAAACACTGGAACAGGATTATACATTTTTGTTTTCTTCTGATGAACAACACGGAGATGTCGAAACTAAGTTGTGATTACCTAAAATTGGTTGCTATAGTATTAGATCAAAAGGAATGTCTGTCAACGAAGTAGCAAATCTTGTATGTGCTTTTACTATTTCGTTCATGTTTTTTTTTTAAATCAAATTTGCCTACAATGGTGTTCAAAATATATTTCAATCAATTCTAGAACAACTTGTTACAAAGAAAGTTATCAAATTCAAATGAATATTATATTTCTTGGATAAACACGCAAAGTTTCTGAAGTCATTATTTCTAACTAATTTCCTCATTCCCAAGAAATTGTATTTTTTTTCCTTCCTTATATAAAACAGTGTCACTCATGCAGAATAGGAGAGAATGTCACCTAGTGGTATATACATAAATTATCTATTAGATTTAACCTTTATTTGCGTGTTTATTGAAATTAAAATTTAGAATTAAAAGCAGATACATCTCATACAGTAGAGATATATATTATATTTTTGTGTACGCTCTCGTGTTATTTCTCTATCCTGTACGTGCCACACTATCCGTTTGTGGCTTGAGTATTTGATAGTACTGAATTATGATCTCTTTCCTTTAGATGTTGAGTTTAACATAAATGTTGTTTTCCATGTATACATTCATTGCTGCATCAATCACTTTTTGATTATATCATATTATTGTTCTGAAAAAGGTATTTTTTGTGTTTGTTTCACGTGTGCTATGACGAAAGCTTGATTAATAAAATTCTGGGACAAACCAAGTTCATAAATAGTGTTTTCAGACAGAAAATATAAATGTATAAAACTATAACTGAAAGTTGCTTTTTTTTTGTCATCTTATTTTTTATGTTTCCGATAACGATTTAAAACGAAGGACTTCAAGAACAGGAAAAGTAACATTTTCATCAAATCTCAAGATATTTAATTCGTTTTTTCTTAAAATGGAATTTCGGAAACTTATTATTCACATTTATAATTACATTAAAAAGGCTTATTAGGAGTTTAACACCGTATGTTAATTCTATTATACCAAACAGAAACAAATTAAAATGTATGTATGTATATATATATATATATATATGGGAGGGTTTAGAAGACAAACTGTGAGGAAAGAAAAAGAGAATTAGCCCAGGGAGATACCAGCCTAAGTATATGTTCACTGAAACAATGTACGTTAGTTAACAACCTTAGACAGAACTAAGTAAAAAAAAAAATCTCTACAAACGTCGAACGGCACCAACAAATGTTAACTTTAACAAACATGCCCTCAAGTTGTACGATTCTAATTAGTTAACAAAAAAATGTTTTTTTTTCTTTTTTCGTTTTGTTTTGAAATACTTGCACAACATTGTTAGTTTTCAGACTATTGTTTGACTATTATTTCAGACTATTATATGACTATTATTTGCATATTCTTAGACTATTATTTCAGACTATTATTTGCCTATTCTTAGACTATTATTTCAGACTATTATTTGACTATTATTTCAGATTATTATTTGACTATTATTTAGACTATTATTTCAGACTATTATTTTACTGATTTTTTCATTGACAGAATGTTCTAAGATTTTTGAGATTCGTTCTTGAAAATAATAATGTAATTACTTACAATACGTTTAAAGCCACGAAAGCGAGGAAACATGCTTGAGAAAAATAATATTTTCAAACATGAGCTGAATTTTATTACTTTTTTCTAATGTGGAAGTATGTTAATTGGTTGAGTTTATCATATAGTGAGTGTTTGGAATGTAACATTAACTTCCAAACGTTAATTCTTATCAAACTTTACGTTAATTATTTAAGTGTTTTAAGTTTTATTCTGAAAACAGATTTATAACTTATATATTTCATCCAGGTGCTTGACAATAATTTTTCATAAAGTTTTTAAACCATATTAATTCATAGGATAAGTTTTTTGTTTGTTTGTATGTAGGATTATCTGTGCTGTACCCATCACAGGTATCGAAACCCTGTTTTTAGAGTTATAAGCCTTCAGACTTATTGCTGAGTCACTGGGGGGGCTACACAGGGAAAGCAGAGATGAAAAGTCATTACATTCGATACATGTGGTGGCTAACATGAACTGTGCAGTGATCACATTCAATAAATGTTGTGGCTAACATGAACTGTGCAGTAATCACATTCGATACATGTGGTGGATAGCATGAAATGTGGAGTGATCACATTCGATACATGTGGTGGCTAACATGAACTGTGCAGTGATCACATTCGATACATGTTGTGGATAACATGAACTGTGAAGTGATCACATTTGGTACATGTGGTGGATAACATGAACTGTGCATGATCATATTCGATACATGTAGTGGCCAACATGAACTGTGCAGTGATCACAGTCGATACATGTGGTGGCTAACATGAACTGTGCAGTGATGACAATCGATACATGTTGTGGATAACATGAACTGTGCAGTGATCACATTCGATACATTTGGTGGCTAACATGAACTGTGCAGTGATCACATTCGATACATGTTGTGGATAACATGAACTGTGCATGATCACAGTCGATACATTTGGTGGCTAACATAAACTGTGCATGATCACATTCGATACATGTGGTGACTAACATGAACTGTGCAGTAATCACAGTCGATACATGAGAAGAATAACATGAAACACTAGTTAAACAGTTTTTTAATTATGTACC